CCTCTGGCGAGCACATGGAGGGCTGTGCGGCCCCCCAAAGAAATGCCACCCCACACCATTACTGACCCACTGCTAAACCGGTCATGCTGGAGGATGTTGCAGGCAGCAGAACGTTCTCCACGGCGTCTCCAGACTCTGTCACATGTGCTCAGTGTGAACCTGCTTTCATCTGTGAAGAGCACAGGGCGCCAGTGGCGAATTTGCCAAACGTCCTGCACGGCGTTGGGCTGTAAGCACAACCCCCACCTGTGGACGTCGGGCCCTCATACCACCCTCATGGAGTCTGTTTCTGACAGTTTGAGCAGACACGTGCACATTTGTAGCCTGCTGGAGGTCATTTTGCAGAGCTCTGGCAGTGCTCCTCCTGTTCCTCCTTGCACAAAGGCGGAGGTAGCGGTCCTGCTGCTGGGTTGTTGGCCTCCTCCACGTCTCCTGATGTACTGGCCTGTCTCCTGGTAGCGCCTCCATGCTCTGGACACTACGCTGACAGACACCGCAAACCTTCTTGCCACAGCTCGCATTGATGTCCTGGATGAGCTGCACTACCTAAGCCACTTATGTGGGTTGTAGAACCCGTCTCATGCTACCACTAGAGTGAAAGCACCGCTAGCATTCAAAAGTGACCAAAACAAAAGCCAGGAAGCATAGTAACTGAGAAGTGGTCTGTGGTCACCACCTGCAGAACCACTCCTTTATTGGGGGTGTCTTGCTAATTGCCTATAATTTCCACCTGTTGTCTATCCCATTTACACAACAGCATGTGAAATTGATTGTGTTGCTTCCTAATTGGCCAGTTTGATTTCACAGAAGTGTGATTGACTTGGAGTTACATTGTGTTGTTTAAGTGTTCCTCTATTTATTTTTTTTTGAGCAGTGTATATTATTTATTTTTTTAAATCTATATCTGTTTGTGAATCTCTATCGCTCCCTCTCATTTCTAGGGGCTAGGTTTAAAAAACAAAAAATGTAAAAAAATTATTTCATTTAACTAACCGTTTTATTTTCAACGACAAATACAACTAGCTACTACTACAGGTTAATATAGTGGTTCTGGTGGCTATAACCTGTTCCTGCAGGCTTTTCAATGTAAACACTGTTTTCAGTGAAACAGGCGCACGCTGATTGGCAAATGCAGGTACAGTCACAATTAGTTTTTTTTTTTTTTTTTTAAAGTTTTTTTTAATATATATATATATATATATATATATATATATATATATATATATATATATATATATATATATATATATAGATATAGAGATTTTAAATTAAATTTAAATACACTCAGCCTCCCTACCTTTTGGAAGAGCTGGAGTGGATTGGCTTTCCTTGGAGCCCAGTGGGCAGTCCTCTCACGCTATTCCTTACAGCTGCCTGCATTGGAGTGAACAGGCTGACAAATGCCCAGACGTCAAAATACTACATAATAGTTGACTAATACAGTCACACGTTCGGTTATATAGTCCATATATGTATAGGTTCAGAGATTATTGTATCTGAATTTATCAGCTAGATATATTCCTATGACTGTGAGCAGTCTATTGTATGCGTCAGTTTTTGTAAATACTGTAGATTATTGTCCTATGTCCGTTCTACCTATCTTTTATCATTATTTCTTTGGTGGCCTTTACTGCTTTAGATGGTAAATCATTCCTTATAGGATAAGTTTGCTGTGGTCCGGGATGTGAAACTATTCTATTGACAGGTCTCTCTTTTCAATAGTTTTTAATAATTCTGACCCCAACCTATGATAATGTGAAATGTTGGTGTACTGCAACATTGTGTGTGTGTATTATAGTAGTAAATAAAATAGTATGTTTTGTATCCTTGTGTGGGTTGTACCTTGGCTTTATTTTGGTTTACATCCTGGGAGAGTGCCAAGGGTACCGATATATATTGCATAAGGCTACATGTATTGTCAATATGCTGTAACTATCCTTTTCCTTTTTGGTAAAAATAGTTGAATATTACCACAATCCTCTTAAGCTTAGTATGATTCACTTTTAGTGAGTGGGTGGGCAATATTCACGTCACAAAGAGTTTCTCATCAAAATCACCCTTTGGTTCATTAACCACTCCTATTTAAATTGTAATTTGACGAGGTTTTATTTGTCCTGGAAAAAATGTCCTGAAACATCGACATTCTTAAACATGATTTGTAAAACATATCAAATACCATCTATGTTTAAAATGGATTGATCTGTTAGCTTGCTGTGCAATTACAATTTGTGTGCACAAAAGATATATTATTCGATCACTGATAATGTGGGGCTAAAAAGAAAGTCCACATTGCAAATTTATCACTTACTGATGTTTAAAAACTGTAGTGAATCATGTGCTCTAAACCAAGGTTAGGTGGAAGTGTTCCAGATAAAGTTGGGGTAGGTAAGGTGTGGCTTGCAGTTAGTCCTTTTTACTTATATTGTGCTAGGTCATGTGATAGCGCTTCTGTTTGATCTGCTTAAAGGGACACTATAGTCACCCAAACCACTTCAGCTCAGTGAAGTGGTCTGGGTGCCAGGTCCCTCAGGTTTTAATACTTCAGATGCAAACATAGCAGTTTCAGAGAAACTGTTATGTTTACATTTGGGGTTAATCCAGTCTTCCGGACAGCCACTAGAGGCGTATCTGCAATGCTGGAGGAACATTTCGCCCCCATCGCGCATCGTCTATAGGAAAGCATTGAGCTGACGTCGGATGGGCCCGGCGCTTGATAAAAGTAACCTGCTGGAGGGATTTTAACTCCTTTAGCGCCACTGGAGGGGGACCCTAAGGGTGGGGGCACCCTCAGGGCACTATATAGTGTCAGGAAAACCACTGTTTTCCTGACACAATAGTGATCCTTTTTGTCTAAATAGCCTTTAGGATGCACAAAATACAGAATCTGCTTGTTTCCTATAATCCTTGTTCTGTAAATTAGAATGGAGAGTTAATCTATTTCAACTGTAGTTAATGTTTTTGAGAGATAACACTAATAAGCCCTTGATGTAGAGGACTCATTGGATACACCCATTTTTGTATCTTACAACAGCAGAAGCCTGCAATAGACTTTTTGGGTGTAGACTTTAATATAGTTGAATGGATAAAATGTTTTCTCTGCAGTGATGAGCACTTTATACCCATTTTTTTAATGAAAATGTTTGTCTTTATCTCAGATGAGTAGGTAACCTGCAAATGTTTTTATTCTAGTTTTTAGTTATTTTGTTCTTGTAACACCTGTGCTGTTGTATGTTAAGGGTAATATGTATATGGATGGTTTCATTCTAATTTTCTTCTATTGGTCTGTCCTATATGGAACGTAGCTCTCTGTGGAATAGGAATTTCTTGACTTGTGACCGGACACTTGCTGTAGGAATTGGGGATTATTCTAGCTTTAGTGACCCAATAATCTAAATTTTATTAATGACAGGAGGCTTCGTATTTGCTTATCTTTCTTTACTGAACCTTCCAGCAGCAAAGAAATAGTTAACAATGGTGTAAAAAGATTAACCAATCAGAGTACAACAGTATCATAGTATGTCATCAAGCTCCTCCCAATTCCTCTTCCTTGCTGTAGCTGAGTGTGGCAGAGATCAACCATGTAAACCATATAACCACATGAACAATGGACGAAACTGCAGGTCCTGTGTTTTGGTCAACCGTGTAAACTGAGAACTTGCTGACTCCACTTTATAACAACTGTAGAGGTTCTTCACACTAAAAGGAAACAGAAGTCCATGAGAGTATAGGTTCTCTTACCAGAGAAAACAAGTTTATGGAACACATATAGTGAACTGTAATCCCTAGGATAGTTATTAGCGAAAACATGGCAAATACTTGAACATAATCCTAAAGTGTAAACCTATGGCAGATGGTGTGTATATTTAACGTTGGAATAGAGAAACGTTAATTTACCTAATAACTTACCTCAAAGGGCGGGAGTAAACTATACAAAGAAGAGGGGGGAGAAATATTTGCCTCCTGTCGTTAATAAAATTTAGATTGTTCAGTCACTAAACTTAGAATAATCCCTAATTTTATGGCAAGACAGGAGGCTTCATATTTGCTGGTTTAACGCTCCTATATGATAGAAGATACAGCATGTGGCATAGGTTTAAAATAGAAGGTACGAAATGTCGATTCTCTGGACCAATCTGCAGATGATAGGATGTCGGAGAGGGAACTGCCTGCACCAAAGGCAGATGATGCAGCTGCTCCTCTGAGTGTGCTCCAAAGGCGGGGTTAATCCCAGTTTGGACAAGTATCCATCTGATCCACCGTGCAGTGGTGGGAGTGGAGACTGGCTTGTGCAGTCTGTAAGAAACCAGGAGGGGTCCCGTAGAGGAACAATGTGTGTGGCCGTGGTATCTATATAGTTTCGTGCACAACGCGCCATGCAGCGTGACTGTCTGTTCGGAAAATAAGGGTAGAAGACTGAAGAGCAATTAGTCTACGTACGTCTGGTGATATTAAATTTAACTCCCTCGGGCGTAAAGACTACAGCATGGTAGTCAAGCGCTCGAATATCGGAAACTCAACGGAAGGATACCAAACATAGAAGTAATTCCAGCTTGGCAGAAAGTTGGCATAACATCAAAGCCTCGTTAGAAGGCCAAGATTCCAAACCAGAAAAAACCTGGGTGACGTCCCAGAAGTTGGAATATCTTGGTTGAGGGTGTCAGGCCAAGCGGATCCTCGGTAAGAGTCGACAAACAGACGGGTGTTTCCCTACTGATGAATTGTAAATAGAGTTGTGAGCTGTGGAAATAGCAGATGGAGACACATTAATCGACCTATAGGATTTGCCTTGATCAAAAAGGGTAGATGGATAATTTTGAATGGCTGTGAGAGGTGCTGAAAAGGAATCGATATTCCTTTCCAAACACCAGCTGACCCATGTCTGCCATGCAGAGAGGTAAGCACTTCTAGTGCCTGGTGCCCAGGAGTCCCATACAAGAGCCTGAGCTGTTGTCGAAAGTTCCGAGACATTCCAAGATCCCCTGAAACGGTCAAAGCTACCAGTTGGAGCCGTTCTTGAAGAGTGAGCGGGTGACAGTCCCCGGCTGGATTCTTGAGTATGTTGGGGAATTGCTGCAATAGAATTGGGTAATTCACTGATTGTTCTAGCAGAGTTGGGAACCAGTTCTGGGCCCTCCATAAAGGGGTAACAATGACTATCATCACTACCAGAGCTTTGACTCGATAAAGGGTGCGTTGGATCATGGAGAAGGGCGGGAATGCATAAGCTCCTCTCTCTGGCCAAGGGTGTAGAAATGCATCAACTGCCCAGGATTGGGGATCTGGGAGCCAGCTGAAAAAGGTCTCCACCTGGATGTTCAACTGAGACGCGAAAAGGTCTAGCGTGAGGTGTCCACTAAGGCAATGAATTTGATGAAACAGAAGGGGGTGTAGTTTGCCAGTCACTGACGTCCCTCCATTGGCGGGAGAACCAATCTGCAACTAGATTGTCCGTGCCCGGAAGATATTCCGCTCATATGGAGAGGTTTCTCCCTAGGCAGAATTGGTAGAGGTCCTTCGTAAGGTCGGACAGCAATTTGGATTGGGATGCTCCCAACTGATTCACATAACGTACTGCAGAGACATTGTCCATGCGTAGTCTTGAAGTCTTTTGCGAAACAGCGGATTGCAAAGGATTCTGCGATTCCAGGCAGTTGACGCGTAGAGCCCGTTCCGAGGGGGACCAAAGTCCCCCGGTGGACTTCTCCGAACACATTGCGACCTACCCGAGGAGGCTGGCATCAGATTCCAGGACGAAGTCTGGCTGCGATCCGAATATGGCTTTGCCATTCCAGGCTTCCATGTTGTGAAGTCAACAGTGGAGTTCTATATACTGGTCGTAGGAAGTGGACCGGTGTAGGTAATTCGTTTTGAGTCGCTGCATGACTCAGTAGTGTAAGGGTCCCTGATATATAGCCTAGACAGAGGCCGACAGGAGACCTGTAGTATGTGCCAAATCATGCAAGCAAATCTATTGGGCTGACAGCAATTTCCGGATGTCTCTCTTTATGGATTTTTTCTTTGTGGAAGGTAATTGTAAAATCGCCTGTGTCTAATCTATTCGAAATCTGAGGAATTAAACTGTCTGAGAGGGTTCCAAATCCAACTTTTGAAAATTTATGACAAAACCTAGGTTTTGTAACAAGGCAGCTGTCATGTCAATATGTTGTCAGAGCAGGTTTGGGTTCTAGGCCATTATCAGGGTGTCGTCCAAATATATAATGGAACGAATCCCTTGCGATCAGAGCAGAGCAATCACTGGTTTCATTAATTTTGTGAAACACCATGGTGCTGAGCAAAGACTGAAAGGAAGGCATGTGAATTGCCAAATCTCCCCTTGCCAGAGGAATTGAAGGATAGCCCGATGGCAGCGGCAATAGGGATTGTGAGGTATGCGTCCTTGTGATCGAATCTGGAAAACCAGTCTCACGCAAATGAGGTCCCTGAGAAGATGGATGACCTCAATCTTGAAATGGCCATATCTAACCTGCTGCTTCAGATTGATAATTGGGCGAAGATCTGTCTTCTTGCGAACCAAGAATATGTTGCTGAGAAAGGTATGTGGGAAAGGCGATCTTTCGATTGCTCCTTTCCCCACTAGTTTGTGTAACTCTGTTTGTAATGTGAGGTCGTCTGTTATAGACATTCATAATGGTGTAGGTGGTGTGTCCTGGAAGGGAGTGGAAAGAAATCTATCTTGAAACCCTTGGCTGTGTTTAGGATCCATAGATCCTGCGAAAGTGATTCCCACTGTTGGGGGAAAAAAATGGGTTAGTCGGCCTGCTATAGGTATATTGAAGGAAGGTTTATTACCTGGAGCAGTGCGTCCGCGTAGGGAAGCTGATCCATGTCCCCTACGCGGATGGATCCCCTGTTTGTGAACTGTCGGTCGTATGGTCAGGTGGTTCCCGTCTTCCAGTAATTGTCTGTGGGACGAGGCCTGTAGCCTGTGAAGGCAGCTCTGCTGTTCGTTCGGCCCCTGTAATGACCAGCTCTCCCAGAAAAACGGTGTGACTGTGAACGAAATACCCTGCGTGGGGAGGATTGGGCTTTATTTAAGGTCGTGAAGACCTGCACATGCTTGGATAAATCTCTTCTAAAAGGGTCTCCAAATAATAAGCCATTGACTTCCGGTCCCAATTCCTGGGAACTTAAATCGCTAGTTTAGCGTCAATTTTGTATAGTGCCGCCTTACGTCTTTCTGTGGACATGGCCCCATTGGCATTGCCTAAGAAACCTAAAGCCCTCTGGGCCCATTCTCGCACAGTGTGCGGGTCAAATTCTCCACTGCTAATGGCTGTGTCAGCCAAAATAAAAATGTGGATAATAGGACCAGCTATATCTAGGAGCTTGTCCTGAGTTGCTTTTAAGACCTTGCTCGATACCCTTGCGAGAGTCTTTGCCTGATCTAGTGAGGAATGTCACCAAAATAGGGTCAAATTCTGGCGTACATGCCACTTTATTCGGGATAGTTAACCGAGGGCATTCGGCTCGAAGTTTAGCTCTGATCTCCTTTTCTAGTGGCTTACTCAGCCACATCTTACAGAAGTTGGAAATGTGAGCAGGCAGGGCCCATTTGGCAGAGCGTGGGTGTTTAATGACCCTAGGGTCAAAGAAGGGAACGCCCAAAGCATCCAGAAGGGTGTCTGACTTGGGTTCCATGGGTTTAGTGTGAATTGAATCTGGAGTATCAATATAAGTTTTTGACCAATTCCAACGAGGGGTCTCGTAGCGCATTCGCTGAAGACTCCCCATCAGAATAGCCAAGATAATAGTCTACCACAAATGTGGAACCTTATAAGGGGTCTGTAGTAGCCTGAGCAGGGCAAGTGAGGGACAACTTAATGGACTTGGCGGGAGCCTTGCCTGCAGATATACTATCCCCTTTCCAGGGACGTTTGTGCAATACCTCCTGATCCGAAGGCTGGGAGTCTTCGGAATCAGAGGGCAGGCGCATAGTGGAGTTAACCTCGGTAGAAGTCTTGTCATGAAAGGCTGTTAGCGCCTTGGGAATAGATTCCGCTATAGTGGAAATGAGCCATGTTCGGAGTTCCTGTAAAATTGCAGACTCAGATTGGTCAGACATGTTGGATCTTATTCATGGTAGAACTGACAATAGTCAACTCAATAAAACTTTGCAATAAATGGGGTTTACCCACTGTATAAAAAGATAATTGTAAGTGCATTATTTATAGTAAGTGGATTAAGCCACTATAATAAAAGGCAGTGTGGTTTCACTTGTAAGGGTCAAATCAGGTGTGTATATATACATAATATTTAGAAAAATGTATGTGGGGTTACCACTAGTAATTCAAAGGGGAGTTCACCTGTAACTTATTAATATAAAGTAGGGATCTCCAGGTGTAATAAAGTGCTAATACACTTTAATAATATGAGAGGTGGGGGTCACCCACAATGACACTCAGAGTAGTTCAGAAATAAAGTGGGGGTCACCCACAAAAGCCCTCCTTTTTATTGAAGAGAGTTGTCACGAGCGTGGGCTATAGGCCCAGCCGAGACAGTGGGGAGAGTGTGGAAGTGACAGGGTTAATGACACCAGACCCCTGGTTACCTGTTGCTAGTCCCAGCAACCACTCAATTAACCCCTGCAATCCCTTCTACACTAACTCCCTTAGTACACTTGACTGCCACCACCAAGACTTTTAAACCCGGGCGTCTTAGGTTACCCCACACACAGGAGAATTATAGTATCACCGTTCTACTTTTACTGATAAAACATATATAGTTAACCCCTTTTGGTAACGTGTTTACCTGAGCTTTCCTCTGGAGAGTGAAGCTCATAGAGAACAGAGACACAAGCTGATTAAGTAAACATTTAATCTGACAAAAAGGATTCACAGTGCTGAGTACAAAATACAGAAATAAATGACATACAGATAACAAATTGCAAAACAGTACATAAAATAAAATAGGAGAAAACACAAGAAATTCCTTACATATATTTACCCCATATAGAATTCTTGTGGGAGTCTTAGATGGTATAGGTCTCCTAGAAGTTACTGACAAAAGAAAAATGAATAATTGACCTCCCTGGATAGTCCAACACCCTCATATATCTAAACTAGTTCTTTCTCAGTGGGCAGACCCCTGGGGGGGGATCAGAGGGGGCTGGTCTGGCAGTCTATTGCCCACTCTATGAAATTCCTTGTGTCCAGCTCTGGTGATGGCTATCTAGATGTTTTATGGTCTAGGCCTGGTGCAGGATCAAAGACCACAATAAATGTCATCCCAAGGTTTACAAAAAAACAACTCTTAACATATATAAACACACATCAAACACCAACTCATGCTTTTGGCATGACAAGAGTATACAGCAGGTTTGGTATTTTGTTATCTGGAAAGGAACAGAAGTAAATAAAATGAGTAAAAATAAAAATCCTAAGAAAATAGTAGCACAATAATTGTGCTAAAAAGGAAAAAATTTGAACTTACCAAATCCGGTGTGGAAAGCACTGGATTTTCCGACCGTTGTGTTGAGCGGGAAAAAACCGTCGGAAGATGGCCGGCGTCAGAGGGCAGAGAGGGAAACGCGTCATAAAAAGGACTCGAAAGGGCGGGAAGCTGAAAATGGCACGAAATGGTTATTAGCAGTGGACTCTATGGGAAATAGAGTGCGCGGCGATTAAGGGAGTGAATGAGGGATGGGCCGCGGTCTCTTACTGAGGAGAGAGCCACGGACACTTAAAATACAAGTAAAATTGTGGATGAAAGGTTGTGCTGACTTAGAGATAGGCACTTAAAATTTGTAGGAGTGAAAAGACAGGAAAAATCTATATAAAAAAAATTATACATCTACTTAGAAATTAATATAGGATTGTAAGTGATCTATAAATAATATAAATATTAGGTGTTGATGTACAATACAGTCAATATATGCTAACCAACATTTAACAAAATGCAATATAATTGGAATAGACTCACCTGGGAGGTATGCAGCAAAGAAAGAAGAATTGGGAGGAGATTGATGACATAATATGATACTGTTTTACTCTCTGGTTAATCTTTTTACACCATTGTTATCTATTTGCTGCTGGGTGGTTCAGTAAAGAAAGATAAGCAAATATGAAGCCTCCTGTTTTGCCATAAAATTGTAAACTCAAACATTTCCAGCTGATTGTTTTCTTTGTTACACGATAGAGCACTTGAACATAAGTCAACCAATCATCCTTGCCCACAGGTGTTTATAACTCAAGAAGGAGTGCTAACTTGATATGTTGACATAATAATGGTGCCTACAATGCCAGCTGTTAGGGTAGATGTTTTGATCTCGTCTGACCAACAC